GCCCCCGCCCCCGCCAACACTCAACCCCGACCCCGCTTGCTATTGGTCCCGTCCCCGGCCCCGCACCAGCAGCTACCCCGGTCCCATGAGTGGTGGGTGGGTGTGGCCCCGGGGGGGGTCCGGGGTGGGGCATAAAACCCCAGTTTTGGGGTTTAGCCCATGTGGTGCGCGCTCTCGCTGCGCACCCCCACTATTTTTATTTTTATTTTTTATTTTTTTAAAATTTTTATTTTTTTTTCTTTTTGGGGTTGGTCTGGAGCCGGGGTCGGGGGTGTCCACCCCCGGACCCCGGACCCCCGCCGGGGCCCCGGGGCCGGGGCTCGACAACCCTGCTGAAAAGTATATTCGATATTATTGTTCTTATTGTTTTCCGCCTTTTTTTTTGTATTCTGTTTTATTTTTGGTCAAAGTCTGTGTGTGCCAAGTTTGGTGTATATTGGGGGTCTTGGAGTTAACTATTTTGGCTAGCCCTGAAAAATCCTGAAAATCCTGAAAAAACTGAAATGAGTGAATTTTGAATGAGAACACACTTTTGCATTGTTGTTTTATAGGTTTTTTAAGTGTTTTTTTTCAATTTTCTTTTTGTAAGTAGTTAGTATGATCTCCAATCTAGGAATTGGTGGAGAATTTGGTTAAAGTGACCTTTTTTTTTTTTTTTTTAATGGTCTGATAAGTAGTCTGAAAATTGAGACCTCCATTAACCGCCTCTATAAAAATATGAGAAACGTACTTTTGTAGGGGAGGTGCTGCTTAAATTTTTGCTAAATCAGAGACTTAGAAAAAAATTGACTTTGTGAAGTCGGGATTATTTAAGTTTTGTGCTTAACTTTGTATAAATTCCGAAAAAATATTTTTTCTACGGGAAGCGCTGCCAAGAGTTTCTTAATTTTGAAGAGTTCGATTATATTTTGATAGGAAAATTTTTGGTGATCCACCATGTATAGGGGAGATGCTGTCAAAATTTTTCTTATATTTAAGAGTTGACTTTATGAGAGTTTGAGTGAGATGTGAATTTGAGTAAGATGTGATATGGGGGTTTATTCTTCATACACTTAACATTTAGTATTGGGATTTGGCTTGTGCTATGTTAGCAGGTCCTTCTTCAAGTTGGTCGTCTCGAGTCAAGATCTGTTTAGTTTCAGCAAATCCTACGAGGATCGTATTCTGTTATCTTTTGATAACAAGTCGGTTGGTTGATTGTCGATTTCTCGGCTCACGAGACAACTTTGCTTACACCTGTGCCTCAACTTGATGCCTTAGCCCTAAATTTTTGATATGTTTTCTTTGATAGTTTTAACCAGACTTCTGTAATGGCCGATATAAAGAATTGATGGGTTTTTATGAAAAGTTTGACAATGGTTGGGGCTTCAGTATGTAAGGCGTGGAGTGGGTTACGAAGAGTAGTAAAGTTGACCACATTGGTGTATGGCAATGTGACTTTCGTATGTGTTTGTGTTTTATGCAGGTTAGTGTTTTGAAGCTTATGTTTGAGCCTTACCTTGGAGGCAGTGAGAATAACAATCATATGTCGCACGATCTACATACCTGATGGACTTATACTTTCTCCTTTTATTTTATCTCAAGTTCTGATTTGATGCGTGGGTATTGGGGTGCTTGTTTATTTACTGATTAACTTTGCTTCTTAATTTTTATGGATGGACTTTAAAGTCCGTAGCAGCTGTTAAAGTAAAACCCCTTGATCTATTTCCAGTCCTCAGATGATGGAACCCCACTTTCAATGTTAGGGGCATCCAACTGCTACATAGGGCCTAGGCCCGCCTACCACGCATCCCCGTTGGCGGCGTAGGGTGCAAAAGAGGGTAGGACTCACAACCGCCTTGGCGGTTGTCTAGCGTCAATAAATTAATCAGTCAAGGCGCATGTCAGCCGACACGGGAGTGTCGACAACAACCCTTGAGACCATTGAGGGCTGCATGATTGTGGGTACTACATGGTACATCATGACTGCGACTGCTTGTGTATTCAGGCATGACTAGTCGATATGAGGAAGTCCACTTCCACACGGTATTTATTATGAAGTCCAGCGCGCGACGTCTAACCGATTTCTGTGTCGGAAAATTTATGGGTCGAATACAAAAAGGGACTAGGAATGTTTTGTGTCAGTTCTTTATTTTGGGGTGGTGAAGCACGTGGTTAGGTGAATTGTCTTAGTCGACCGGCGTGGAGTCGCACTTGGGACATCAGGCCCCCATTGCGTCGGCTCTCGTACGGGCTCGATGGAGGCGTTCGACCACGCGTACACCCTATGCTATAACGTATGGAAAACTCCCTTTGCCGGGCAACCTCTGCGATTGCAACTGAGTAGCTTTTGCATGTGGTTCGATAGCTCGGTGGGGATGCGCTCGTCCAAGGGTGGTGACAACCTCTTGGGCAGAGATAAGTTGTACCTCACGTGATCCTATCCTGTCGTAGGGGTCCGCGAGAGGTATGGCTGACACACTTGGTTGGAGTGACGAAGAGCTCCACCACGAAAAAAAGTCCTCCACGAATCCTGCGTGACACGGCTGGGAGGGTCCCTCTGTGGGACCGATGCGCTCGACAACGTCGTTTGAAGTTTTATGATCTCTAGATCCGAAATCTTATTGTTCACCTCATCTACAAAATAGCCTTACCACTTTCGCCATTTCACATTCTCTCTGACGAAGATCGTGGTAGACCCGTCTCCCCATCTGACTAAGGAATAACACTCAATTGCTCCCTCGATAAGCTCATTGATACGACCCAGCCCCCAGGATAATGTGCATAGACTCTCAGGCTGTATGTCCTGACGGAGCGGGTCCCTATTTTTCTTTAGGGTCAACATTTTCCTCTCCGTTTTAAGGACAATTTCGACATTCTTTGCGATAATGGTTACCCTAACCCTTTACCAGTCTCTACTTAAATAGAACAAAAGTTCAATTGTTATCCCCTTTTTGTTGACGAAGGTATACTTATAGCAAGGTTCTTCTTAAAGGTTGCACCTTTGTTCAGTATTTAAAAAGGACCAGACCTCGCTTTAGGTGGGTAGGTAGGGTTCGCACCTGTCACGAAGGACTTAGCCTAACCGAGAATGACCCCTTCCTTATTGTAGTGACTCACGCACTTCATAGTGGTATCGTGCACCATAAGTCGGTGTTGCATGATCAATTGATAGGTGTTACTAGGGAGGACCGGTGGTACGGGGCTTCCCCACCCGATGTTACATTCCTACTCAAAGTGCAACAAGAGCGACTCCAACAATCCTCCTTCTATGGTGGCTTTCCCTCTGAATTCCACGAAGCCCTTGTGCCCCTTCAGCTTCCTCGGCGTCGGGAAGGGTCTATCTGCGGCACGTGTAGGTAGAGGGGTAAGTGTCGGTCCCATAATTCTTCTGGTGCCGGCCGTGTCCTTGACCAGTACTAGGGAGCCAGTATATTGAGTAATGATATTCCACGACGGAGGTTGATCATCCCAGTTGGGCTCATATAGGCTGAAGGGTTGTGCGAGAAGTCCTCCAACACACTTTCGTGCTCATCGGTTCAACAAAGCACAAGCTGGGGGGAACCCTTCCGGCCTCGTCACGCAGGAGTTGGTCTGATCCTCCTCGTAATGCACATGGAGCTTCCGCAAGCCGCTCCGGCCGAGTGCGCCAGCCATACCTCTTGCGATCCCCTACGACAGGATAGGGCCTACACGAGGCACAACATACCTCCACCTTACGGGAGTTGTCACCTCCCTTCGGTGGGTGTATTCCCGCCGAGCTATCCGTCCACAGTACGAAAGCTAATCAGGTGCAATAGCAGAAGTGGACCAGCCGAACGCGTTTCTCGTTCGCTGTAGCATAGGGGGTACGCGCAGTCTTACCCCTCTATCGGACCCGCACGCGAACCGACGCCTTGGGGGGGCTGAGGTCCCAAGCGCGACCCGTCGTCGGTCGACTAGGACGCATCTCACACACCACTTGTACACCAATCTAAAGACATAAATCTTAAAACACACACGCACACATACATATACAGGGCGACACGGAACGAACAACTCGACACACTCCTAGTCCCTTCAGTAGCTACCCCATAACTCTTTGATGCGGAAATCGGATAGGCGTCGTGCACGGGACTTAGTATAAACCGCGAGAATGCAAGACCTCCTTATATCGACTAACAATGCATGAATACGTAAGCAGTCGCAATGATGGCGTACTATGTAGTGCCCATAATCGAGTGGTCCCTTGTGGATCCGAGTACCGCTTATGACACTAAGGTGTCAGACTCGAAGTACCGTGAAGGTTAACCCCTTCACGATATTGCACGATTGAAGGAACAACGGTCTCCGCGGCACCTCCGGCCTTTAGGCGGAGTGTCCCGGTGGGTAGGACAAATAGGCTCTGCGTGGGGGGTGATCCCTTCCATGCAGAGTCTAGGACTTAGGATGTCCTGGACAAGGACCTCGAATCCAGGCCAAGGATCAACGTCCGACTAAGAAACTTTTTAAGAAGCAAACAACAGTAAACGAAGGGAGTCCCCCCCCCTCCCTTTCGATCTCGACCCCAATTAAGCCCTTAAGCGTGAGCTCCTTAGGCCATGCAAACACCCAAACATAAATATGTGCGTATATATATAGTGGACAATAAGTATGTGACGATCACTTCTCACAATCATAGTGGGACTTCTCATAGCGATATATATGTATGTGATCGCAGATAGTCAAATCAAAACATCGAACCACAGAATATATCTGCAATCACATCAAAGAGTCAATCAAAAGTCCACACATTACACGGAGTCAACTTCAACCATTCTCTATGCTCATACCCCTCGCTCTAGCCATGGAAACCCTAATCTTTATCCAACCTTCTATAATTAAATACTCAGTACCTTTGTTGAATGACCATTCACTAAAAGTCTGGGTGAGAAACTTAAATCAAACAATAGAAACCACCAGGGTTAAAGCCTCTTAGGTTGAGTTTTGAGAATCAATTGGAGTTGAGTCGTAGACCGACGAATCAGCAACCGACGTGTTATTAGTGATAATAGAAGATGATCCTTGTAGGATAAAGCTGTATCTATTCCAGATTTTGAATCAAACGATCAAGAGGATCTGTAACACAGGACAGTCCAATACCCAAGCTAAATTCATAAGTGTATGGAGAATAAAACTCCATAGCACATTCTCACTCAAGGTCCTTCTACAAGCTAAGCCTAGGTCTGTCTCTAAGTCAGTGCTGAATGCAAAGTAGACCTATGACAACATTTCCCCTATTAAGGGTGGATTGTCAGAATTGCCAGATGTCAAAATATAATCTATCTTCTTTAAAATAGGAAAACTTCGGTAACGCTTCCCACAGGAAAATAACCTTTTAATAATTTATACTAACTTAAATATACAAACAAAAAAAATCTTTAATTCTGGAAAGTCATTAGAGAAAAACACTTTTCAGATTTTTACTCAGTCAGATATGAACCCAGAAACAATTGTGAGGTTAACTAAGGCAAAATTTAACTGATTTCTTAGTTTTTTAAAAAATTCGGTAACACTCCCGTAAGAAAAGTGTTATTTCAAGATTTATGCAAAGTCAAGTTCAAAAATCCAGAAATAATTTTGACTTCTCAAGGTCCAATTTTGTCTGACACCCTGAATTAGTAAAATTTTGGGCAACACTCTTTTTAGAAAATGAGACTTTTCATATTTTTACAAAGCCATATATAAAAGTTAGACACAGTGAACTTTGAAAAAACAAAATCTAACTAATTCCTTGGTTTTGTAAAAATTTCGACAGCGCTTCTCGTAGAGAAAGTGGCTTACCAAGATTTATACAAGACCAGGTAGAAGAAATGATCCAAAAAAATGCAGAAATCAACCTAAATAAAATTAGCTAAAAAAATGCAGGAATTGAACTAATTCCTATCGCTCAAATAACTCAGAAAATGCAGAAATTGAACTAACTCCTATCGCTCAAATAGCTCAGAAAATGCAGAAATTGAACTAACTCTTATCGCTCTGGCACATGGTGAGCAGCTAAAGCAACTACCTATCAAACTGAAACTCAAACTAAGTAAATAATCTCACTTAGTCACATGCAGGTCAAGCCACAAGGGTAAGCACTCTCACCATCCCCAAGTAAAGTCCTCATAGATAGTTCATGAAACTTTCAGATGATTTAACTCTTATACCCAACTTACATATGGCATGAAGCTAGATCATTCAACTTAGAAACGATGTCTAGCATGCCCTTAGAATATACACGAACAAGTTGCACAACCACTTTTTTCTTCTTTGGGCATATGACTAGACCATTCAGCTTACAAACAGTGCCTAGTCGCCCATAACTGTTTAATAGCAAAAATTCAATAATTTTCTGACGTTGTTTTCAAAAGAAATGAAAATATCGGAAGGGGCCTGAGCCATTCAGTTTACAAACAATGCTCAGTTTGCCCATATAACTAAGTATTTTTCTTTATCTTCTTAACGATATGACTTTGTGTTGGGCTATTCATCTTAGAAACAATGTCCACATGCAAATATAAGTAAAGATACTTCCTGTTATACTCACTTTATACTTTTGTGCGTGGTTTTCAATTCAAAACATTCAACTTAGAAACAATGCTTAGCCTTAAACAAAAAATCCTCCTAAAAAGTAAAATAAAATACTGAACCATTTAACTTAGAAACAATGTTCAGCCTATCCTTAAACCATTTAAAGCATGAAGTTAGATTCTTTAATCCAACTTCAGCCAGAGACCCCAAAAGAAACAGACGGACCAAACCATTCACTTAGAAAGAATGTTTGGTCCCAGAGACCAGTAAGACAAACCCTCAAAATTAAACACAATAACCAGGTCATTTAACTTAGAAACAATGCCTGGTCCTTCAGAAAAACAGTCAAATAAACAGAGTTCTGGGCCATTCAACTTAGAAACAATGCCCAGTTCTTGGTTGACCTAGTCAGAAGCATGCAAACTGCCTTCCTCCCACCTTCCCCAATTCATTCCTTAGTCAGCTTTCAGTCAATAATAAAGAAGAAACTTTAGTTTTTCACACGCATTCCTTCCATTTAGTCCGATTAAATCCCGAAAGAAAACAAAATCATAGGGGAACACATGCATACAATCAGTCAAACTAAAAGGAGATAGTCAAACATGGGTATAGGCGGTTCATACAGATAGAGAACACCTGTCATTTCTCTGCCTCCATAACCTCACTTAGGTTTCGACAGAGCTCTCGCAATCGGTGGGTGGACTCCCACAGAGTCTTGTTGCAGTCCTACGGGTTGCAATCCCGCCTGCCGCCTTCCTCTCATAACCAGGCTTAAACTTAGAGTCAGAAGGGAAGAAGGAGATAGGGTTGAGACTCTCAGATCCAAGAAAGGTGCTCTCAAACTCATGTGAGAGGACGTTGATTCCTTGATACGCTTGAGGGCCCCGCAATGGTGGCCAGAACGCAGCTTGGTCAATTAAACACAACTGCTAACTGTTGACTTCCCTGGCGACCTTCCAAGCCGCAATAATATTCCCCTTCAACAAGCTCAATTCCCCCCCCGACAAAAGGTTGTGGTCAGGAAAGGCCCTGGCCACCGCTCGAGTCACGGGTCGTGGGGCGAAGACACAACCCTCTCTCTCTCACGCCACAGCAGAGTGGTAACGACGTAAGGTTATCTCGTTGGCTTTGCAGCATCAGAGAGTGCGCAGATATGGGCTATGTAGCCCTCATCAAGCTATAACAAGTACTCAGTCCATGACTGGACTTACACTACTCAGGCTGGTATAAAGGGCAGCGCACCAGTTAATTTGCAAATTCACCAACTTCACGGTTGGTCTTAGTTCACTTTCACTGGCTCAACGGACAACACGGGGTCGGGAGGTAAGTCTTCAATCCGTGGCTGGCTCTCCTTGCCGCTTCGACTAATGCGATAGGCAACCCATTGGTCAGCAGCTGCGCCTGCAATTTCCTCAGTTCGGGCAGCGCATTAGTGAGCAGGTAAGTCTTCAGTCTTATAACTCACTCCCTCTCTCTTGTTGTCCTGTGTAGGAGAACGAGCTGCGCAGTCGCTAATCTGCAAGCCTGTACTTCAGTGGCTGGCTCTCAGTAACTTCGCATGACGGGGCAGACACTACACCGACCCACAGGTAAGCTTCCAGTTCGTGACTGGCCTCAAGCCCTTTCGTTTCGACCGGTTATATAACGTATTGGCCAGTTGGTAAGGCTGCGGCCTCGCAACCTCCTTCCCTCGTTGCCCTGCTTAATGAGAGAGCACCACATTGATTGGCCTTATAACTGCTCTGTACGGTGCGTTGGGCAGCACCCCAGTCAACAAGTGAACCTCTAATCCCCACAACCCACCTTATGTTCGTCCTATCGATAAGTCGATCG